GCTAGGCTTCTGGCATGATTTGCACCCTCTTGATTTAGTGAAGGTTTTTGTCTCATCACCTGGTCGTGAGCGGTCATCTAAATTCCTTTCACATAACATGCCAAAGTAGTTAGGTTTTTATGCACCGAATAATATGTTTAATACCAATAAAACAATCTTGTCACATTTTACTATCATAAGGTAAGATGTGAAGAGGTGAACTCACCCGAAATGAGACTCGATGTAATGAGAGGAATGATCAGCATTTTGAGCATATTCATGAGCAGGGTTCCGGGAAAAGCTACCAAATCTACCGTGCGACGGCTGACATTTGGATGGGCAAATTTTATTACGATGCCGATCACGAGACCAAGTGCTACAGCCGAGATTGTCAGAATCAGCTGAACATTGTCAGGCTTCCGAAACCAATTACAACACTACAAACCAACGATCCATACGTAGAATTTTATAATTCTAATCGCAGCTACAGCTGAATCGGGTGTGATTCGTGTTTCAAGTTCGAAATGTGTACCATATATTTTCGCGAATTTTAATAGGTGAATAGTTAAAACCCACACTTCTTAGTAGAAATTTGCATTAAGAATGAAAGCATACAGGGATGTATAAAAAGGCACTAAGGATTAACAGGTCTTAGTCAGTAGTTTGCCAACTACTTCCACATGGTTAAATGAATTGACTTACCTTGTTTCTGGGACAGTTGACCTTGGGAATTGTCGGAGCTTTTAATTTTCTAAAGGGACCTTGCCTTCGCTGTCTCTGGCCTTCGTTGATTACAGCATGTCCTGACGTCATTCCTTTTAAGCTGTATGGTATTTCACAGGTTCTACTTTTTGTGGTGTCACCATACCCAAAACCAGCGATTAATAAACTGTGTGAATTTCATTACACAAAGCACAATAAAGACGTCCCTTTATTTAAATACCCAATTTAGGAAAGTAATTGGTGTAAAAATTCCTACGGCAGTTTTTATGTGCGTATTTTTTGAACTGTCAAAAGCTCTGCTAGGGTATTTGCAATATTTTGTAAGGTGTGGCTATTGCTGTTTTTTTCTAATAATGATAGCCTATTATTTTATTAAAAGGCAGTCTTGTTATTATAAAATAGATTTTTTTGCTGAGTAGTCGCAGCATTCGAAGCACAAAAGTAAACGCAGTCTTAAATATAAATGACTACCAGTGATTATATATATATGATTTTCTCTTTTCCTTTTCAAGAATTTTTTGGGAAAATCAGATTGGTGTAGGTACGTAAAATATGCAGTGATATCAGAAGGCGTGTTAATCATAGGTGGGGGTGGAGACTGGAGTGGCTCACCGGAGGCTTAGGTGTGAAAGCTCGAGTGACCGATGTCGGAGTGGGCAAAACGAGTCTGCTGCCAAGCTAATAAATCAGACCGCACTCTCGTCGCTCTCTCTCTCTCTCGCTCTTTCGCTCTCTATGGGTGCGAATCTTGCGTGTACGTGAGTTGCCTTGTCCAACCGAAACACGCCGTCCTAGCATGCAGCATATTCCTCACCGATTGGTCAACTTCCACCTGTGCGCATGGGTCAACTGACGTCAGTTTACAGTTCTAATTTCAACTGCTCATCAGCAACAGGTGTACGTGACAAAAATTAAGTTTGTACAATCACTCTGTACTTTTAAGCTTTTGGAACAAAAAGATTTTGCTATAAAACCTTGTGCTCAAACAATTATTGTCCAAGGCGAATACGATAATGGTCAGATCTGGAATGAAGTTGAGTCACGCAGTCGGAACATCTGGTCATTGTGTGCATGCGTTCCACAGACTACAGATTTTTGCATCCAGATTAATAAAAGGAGTATAAACCCTGCTTTTAAAAAGGACTTTTTATTAAATTACGCCACCATCAACATGGGAGCAAAGTAAAGTGACGCATTATCAACGAATGTCAGTAAAAATGCGTTAGACTGTGGCAATGAATGTGCCGTTAAGCATATTGATATAAAATGATTTGCTATTATTCATTTAAGCTGACCAAGGCAACTAGTAAAATTAATGCTTTTTTTCAAAGGACCGTTCTTATAGACATCTACGTGGCGTACTAACTCGAAGTTTGATTAGTTTTTAGTAATTTAGGCATCTGCAATTTCTCGGAAGATCTTCCTAAAACTAGATATTTTATTCAGTGGTCATCTGGAAAATTTTGTTTAACATAGGTGCGGAAAAGTGCGGTTTTTGAATTGAAAGGCGCACATTTTGATAAAGTCTTGTTTTAGTCTTTTGGCCTTCGTTAAATGATAACGACAATTCTAATAGCAGACGTGTGTAGTTTGGTCATCTGAAAAATAACCATATATTTTTGCCCCTGTTTATCAAACGTCGACCAGTACGAAATCGCAGCACCACCTTGATTACTGAATAAACATACCGAGGCCGGGACAAAGTCTTTGGTAATACGATGTATCGTTGTATGAGTATTTTTAAAATTTCCCCGTAACGCATCACATCACAGTTTCCATCTGAAGTAAAACACTTTGTAATGGAAAAAGTTAATATGACTTTCTCATTGACGGAAATTCAAATGTATTCTTTTTTGTCAGTTTGTTCAAAACTTGGTGTCTTGAAACAGTCTTAGTTGGAATTTATTTGCTTTTTGCACAAGGTGACTGTTATTTGTTAAGTCTTACATTAGCATTATAAGGCTTTCAGTAATATTTCTCGCTGTGCAGGAGCCACGTAATTTACTGCTGTAATTACCATTTGCATACCAGTAGCATTTTAAGGAAATCCTCGCCTATAATAATAAGAATTAAGAATTAAGTTTAGTTTTAAAATATCATTTTTCTGTAGTAAGCCAAATGCCTTTTGCCTACAAGCCATCACAATGGCTTGTAATTCATCTCACTCTTAGGATTCCAAGCAGCGTTGCTGTTGACATTGATTCATCAGATTTTAAACCCATTTGAGATGTTTCAGTGCCTAAGGAAAAGTTTTGATGTAATTAAATTATGTACATGGACAGTGTTTATACTCGCAATTATGCCCTAAGGGGTAATAGAGCTAAAACTCTTCTGATTGTAAAAAACAGTAGACCATCTGGATATTGGGTTTCCTTATATTCTCGTGTTTTATTTTGATGCATAAATAACAAAATGCTTAGCTCGTGTTTATAATTTGCACAACTTTTAAAAGGTCAAAAGTTATTTTGGAAGACTAATTCAAGGCAAACCTTATTTTACAGATGTCTTTTTTTGATAATCTGGTTCCAAAGACTTTCGATTGAGGTTTTTGTGTTAGAGTGAATTAAATAGGCACCAGATGCCTATTTGCACTTTGTAGAATTTAAACAGTAAAGAGTGGCGTTTGAAAAATGAAATAAAGACAATATTTGCCACTACACTCCCGAGGATAATATAGCAACATACTAGTACGGCCACAGATGAGACGAAGTAATCATGCGACCATAATAAGCATCCTGTGGCTTTGGCAGTCCATTAACTTACCTCGGATAAATATGAATCCCTGGGGGTTACAGATGGATTCCATTGCCCCAACATACCAAAACAATCTTCTTTGGATAGTTTCTGTAAGAAATGCAGTATTGGCACCCACCTTGGAATAATTCAACATTCATGTAAGCCGCGAGTTTACATGAACATGTTTTTTTAGAAAAATGAGAAGTTTAGCGAGATAAAAAACCATATCTATTTTTCGTCGTTGCAGACAGTGATATTAAAGAAACTGGGTTCAAATTTTTGAGACTTGGAATCGCTGCAAATTAAAAAAACCACCCCTGTGTGTAATAGGCGTACTTCAAGTAACTTTATCTACCTATTCGACTACACCAAATGTAGTGTCCTGAGACTTCCTTAAAGACAAAGAAAGGCATAATACTCGGGCAGAATGCGTATTCGACACAAAGGTGGGACTAAGACTACTGGCATAGTCCGGAGGCCAGTCCACCCGGCGAGGTATAATGGCGGAGACGCAAAGTGAAATCAACCAGCATATTACACTCACCTTTTGAAATAATTATATGACAAATCAAATATTGCGTCTGAAGATATGCAGAAGCATTTAGTTGTTTAGATTTCTTATTAATACATACGACCGAATTTTAGATGTAATATTGTTTTATGTTAACATGCACTATAATATTCTCAATGGAAATTAAGACAATAACAACTCATTAACTCATAAGAGCAAAAAACTACGAAAATGGCTCTTAAAAAAATATATAGCTTAGCAAATTCCATAGAATGCAAAACAGGATGGTTTACTGGTTTTACGGTTTTGAGTACCATTACGCAATTTAATCACAATATGGAATGTATGCACCATCATTTTTCTTTGTATGTTTTTCATTAATTCCGTCTCTAAGGTATGTGCTATGCCTGTTTTAAAATTAACGCTTATTATATTTATTTCACATAAGTCAGTCAAAATATTTCCCATAGTAATATGTTATCCATTTTGAATACAGTGGAAAGAAATTCCCACATCATTTTTGGTTGACTATCGACTATTGATGTGCTAGTTGTAGCGCAGTTCCGTAGGTTTTAACTCATTTTGGAAACAATGTATGCAGTTATAAATGCTGAATAATAAAGCCAGAATTATTTGTTTATAGCCGGGATTACATTTAATCCTTCATCGTACAAATGAATAAATGATGGTTGTGATAAGTTTTATCATTCGCAAGATTTTCGTGTCGCCATTCAAAATGTATTGGGCAGACATCTTACCAGTTTTCGTGAGCTTGCTTTGTGGCCTCCTTTTTCAAACGAGGATAAACCTTAATATGCAAATAAGTTCTTTAACGTTTATTTAAGACTGCAGATTCCCTAGGTACATAAAAATTCATCATGAATGGATGCATTTTAAGTTAAAAGGCACGGGTTATTAACTAGTAACTCTAAAAAACAGTTATGTTGCTATTTTATCTCTTTGAGAATACTTTAGACGCGTCAGGATAAACGTTGTTTTGTACTCTACGAGTGTTTATTTACTTGATAGGGTCATTTAATTCTAACTTGTTCGGTCAAGATGATCTCATAAAGATAAACACACCTGGCCCTGTGGCAAGTTCCTGATGGTCCCTACATAAATGTATGAATTACAAAGTAGTCATGCTTTAACGTTGTTGCTTCTTAGACTACACGAAACTACCTTCAAAAACCTAGCTTTTACAATTTTGGGAAATACCAAGGGAAAATAGTTTGAGATTTATTAGTAAGTTGATTTATTTTATTTATTCCAGTGAACCTGAATGAAGTAAAAATTGTGTTTAAAGTAAATTCCGAGCTGTTTAGTTTTAGCGCCATAATTAGTCGGGTTTTCGATTTACTAAAATTAATGCACTTGAATTCAGAATTTCGCCTCACGTTTAGTCCCGGATAAAGTCCTAAGTAAATCCCTTTCCTGATTTGAAACGAAATTTGTAGTTATTAACAAATGGTCACAAAGCTACAATATCGCAATAAGGGTTGGCTAAAGTCATCACATGATCCAAATGCCTTCCCATTCCGTCGAAAGAGTTTGACGTAACAGGGGTGGGTTGTAAGGCAAAAGCGACAGTAGTTTAGTCTCATCACCTTTGACGCCTGTTGGGGGGCGGAATACAGAAGAGAGAACAAACAATTCGGGTAGAAAAATGTTTGTTCTATTTTTCGTGGTTAGCCAAGAAAGCAGTAATGCCATCAATATCAGCAAAGCGAGTGCTGTTCAACAACAAAAATAGCACAATGTAAAAAACAGCAGCAAAATTAAGAGCGGAAAATTGCGGACAAACTGTTTAGTAAAAATGGGAAAGAGATAGTATTTAAAAGGTGTATTCTTGAATATTGAATTTCAGCTTTTGAATAGGTGGGTTTGTTCTGCTAGAATTCAACAACGAGTATGAATCAGTGAGACCGACATGAATGTTTTGTTTCAACCTTTCCACATCAAAGAATGAGAAACAAAGGCATCATAAAAGGCACTCCTCAAAGTCGACTATTAAGCTGAACAGTTTTCATAGCAAGAGTATGAAAATAGCTGGAAGCGATGACACATAATTTGATGCAAGGCCTAGGGAATACAAGTGAGCAGACAGAGGATTTTCTGATCCAGCTTTCAGGGCTTCAATTAAGCAGCTTCGTGCGTGCATGCATTGACTTCTATGCATTTTCATGGTCCGTGGATCTCAGTAGAAACAAATTCATGTAATTAATTGCATTCCATCTCACACCATTTCTATCAATCATAAACAGTCACTTTTATTGCAATAGAATGGATAGTTCGCCTGAAGCTAAAGCTCTTAAACACTGTAAGCATTAATGACCGGTGTGATTTTTTGTCCTCGTACCTTCCAAGCCTAGTGAAGTTCCGAGATAATCGGAGAGAGAGAGATTATTATTAATTATTCATGTGTAAAAGTAAATGTACTGTAAAAGTACTGCGCTTTAGGAAGACTACTTTTCTTCCAGCATCTGTTTGCTTTATCCAAACTGCCGAACCCGTCTACCTATTCTTCTAATTTATTTTGTTAAACTTTTTA